GTTTCATAAATTACTCACCGGACATGTATTGTCCTCGTACTCTTTCTTGAGGCTGAGTCGCACTTGACACGAGAAGTGCACGTGCGCCTTATCTGCGAACTTAAACACGTTCGATCGAACCGCGGCCGTTAAGTCATCGAAGTACGTCAACTCGTCCAACAGGTAACGATCTTTGGAACACCTGAAATTTCGCACAATTCAAGTCGCAATAGAGAACTACCTTATTTATGCAAATTTACCCGTCCTTGTCTACAATTTCAAACGATGCGTCGTTTCCGTCGTCTACTGAACAACTGTGCACCACCATGCAGTACATGTCTACTCAGAGACGGGTTATTATTCCAGTTAGCAGTTGAAATGAGGTTCATGCTTACCAGACTTTTCGTGCTCGCACTTCCACTTGTGCGCCACCTCATCGCCGATGCTTGCAAAGGTCACCTCCACGGTTCCGTTCGGAGTGCTGGTTACCACGTGATAGCTGCACATTGGCATCTGCGATTTGGTGTCCAAATCTGCGACCGGCAGTGCACTAAAATGTACTCCTTCAAGATCTTGAGGAAAACCTGTCCGAGTAGGAAAAACTGAAACGAAATCCAAAACCGAAGATTTAGAGGCCTAATTCGTACTTCTCCCCAAAGAGAGGCTAATAAATTATCATGCTGCTTACCATCGGAACATAAAGTCACCTTTCGATTTGACTCGTTCCATATTCCGATCGTTGACTCAGGTTAAACTTGATGACCTTATAAATATCAAATATATTCCTAACCTGGGTATGTCAAATAACGCATAGCTCTTCTCAGACGGAGGAAATCCTTCTAGTAGGCCATATAAAAGGTCCTGGAGTCGTTACCTGCTTAAATGCTTTCTAGACAACCTGAAGCAAGGGAGTAGCGCAGTTCATGGTTAAATCTGGTCTTGGTAAAGTTATGCTTTATTAAACTTGACAAGTGTTACGTTAAGAGGCGCATGCTTTACCTGACACCGATGTCTTGAGTCAGCATTTGGTCTTCCTCGGCATAGAAGCATTCAACATAGAAAGCTCGGTCAACGCTGGTCACAAAAATACGGTGAAAACTAATGACGAACGTAGAGCTGGTAACGATACCCTTTGGATTCATCTAAAAGTTATTAAGCTGAAAACACGAATCTTTATGCCAGTATATAAGGTGTACTTTTCAGAAGTTAAAAATTGTTAATTGAAACAAAG